CCACCTTTTCCATCAGTCTCAACCCCCCCGGCGTAATCAGTTTTTCCATCAAAGCACATTTCACCATCAGTCATCACAAAACACAACACACACAGACAATCACTGCATACCACAACACACCACCAAACCCCAAGCAAGTCATCATCATTCACCCAAATTTCACAAAAACCCACGCAGGTTCAGCAGGGCACAAAACGTTTCCCACAACACAAAGCCCCCCCCCCCCCAAGGCCACCACAAAACACAAACAGTGCACAAGCAAAAAGGCAAGCACATTCACAAAGCGGGGCAAGGGCGCAAAAGAAAATCCAGCAAGCAGGCAGGGCCCAAAAATCATTCCCGCAAGCAGGTCAGCAAAGGCACCCACTCACAACAGAAAGTAAAAAAAACAATCTAAACCACACATCAACAGGTTAATGTCAACATGATCCATCCACACCAATTTTTACATCACAAAAACACTATTCACAACAAAACATCAGTCATGCCATTCAAAACCCAAACAATTCAACATTTCAAAAACCCCATGTCAAGCAACACGCAAGTGTCAAAAAGTTTTCAAACATCAGTCCATTCAGCACAACAACTCACATCCTATTCAAACAGTTCCTGCAATCAGCACAGTGTCTTCAGTCACACACCAGTGCGAACACACAACATCACAAACCTGCAACGAACAACATTCAACCGTGGCAGCCCAATGCATCAGCAACAACAATCTAAAAAGCAACACAAGCAGTACAACAACGCACATCACACAACGAACTGCCCGCGCACCGCCACAATCCCACAACAAGCATTAGTGTCAGGGCCAGGGTTGCCCCTCCTTCAACCACATCACACACAAACCAAAGCATCGCTCCATCTAATGCATCAAAACACATTTTCATTTTCAATCATTTCAAAAACATTCACATTTCAAGTTTCAGCAGTTTCAGGCCCCCCCCCCAAGTTCACAAATCAGCATTCACAAACAACAGACACAAACCGATCATCACAAGTTCACAACAACCAATCATCATTAGCAGTTCCACTATCTACACACACCCATCAAAAACAACGACGCCATCGAATCTGACAGCCTCAAATTCACACAAACAAATTATCACCACAACATCCAATGTTCAATCCTTGTCCATTCAAAGCCCCCCGCGAGGTCAACCACCCACCCCCCCTCATCCGGCCAAAATCCACTGTCCTCCCGTTTTTTCCCATTTCATGAAACATCCCACGAAACCACCGCCACCCCGCACGCCTCGCCCCCATTTCAGGCGCGTCACAAAAGCAAAGCAAACAGGGCACCAAATTCAGACAAGCAGCCACGTCAAAAGCATCAAAAAGGCACATCACAACAGGCAGACATCACACAAAACACAAACGCATTCAGCAAGGGAAGCAAACCAACAGCATTCAGCGAGCAAAACGGGGCAAATTCACAGCAGGTACCATCAACCAAAACAGCAAAACGGCAGTTCCTTCACAACGTCACATCAGGTCAACAGTCCCCCATCACAGCCTCAACCCCAAGCACCATCAATCAACACCAACCCCTCACAGAGGCAGTCAAAAAGGTTCGGCAACATTCAACAAGACAAGCAATCAAGGTCAAAAGTCAGGAGCACACAAGTATCCAACAGCACAAAAACAAAACAGCAGCAAAGCCGACAAACCAAAGGGTCAATTCACCTCAACAAGCAAAAAAACACACAACCAGCAGCACAGCCAACAAAACACAACCAACAGCCAAACATCGTCACACCCAACAACATAACACACGGCGCCACTAGTTCCCCCCCTGGCCGAGTTCCTCCACCATCCCCTTCCCCAATGCCACCACTCTCATCCTGCCCCGACCCCAACCACCCACACCACCCGCCCCCTGCTACCACTTTCCCCTCCACTCCCATCAACCCCCCCACATCACCCCATCAGCACTCCGCCAATTGCACCCCCCTGCCACTCGGGCCCCAAACCGGCACGACCCCCCGCCACCCCCCCGCCACTTACGTCGGATCACCCCTCGGAAAACGATGAAAACAGCCCCGCGCGCATTTCCCATCCCCCACCTCCACACCCAAACCTTCCCCACCCCCCCCCGTCAGCCCACCACCCCACCACCCGCTTCCGTTCCCCACCTCACCCCCACCGGCACTTTGCCACCCTTGAACACGCCTCCCAGCAACCACCCAGACCCGTACCTTAGCTCAAGCAACTCAGCCCCGCACGCCGCCCTTTTCGTCCAAACGTGGCGCATGCCCACGCCCCAGACAACCATCCCCATATGGCCGATACCCATTTCCATTCCCCTGGTTTCCAATCACCAAAACAACCATTAAAAGCAAAAGATCACAGCAAACAATCACAAAGTCAAGGCCAAGCACTATGGCAGGGTTCAACATGGCAACAAGCACAGGCACAAACCACAGTCCAATCAATCACAAAGCAGCAGCTTTCAAAACAAGTCACAGAACAAACAAAAACAAGTCACAGCAAACAAGTGTCACAGCAAAATCCAAACAAAGCGCACAAACAAGCAAACAGGCAAAGGTGCCTAAACATCACCCACAACACAGTCAACAAACACATCATTCAGCACCAGGGGTTTCACACATTCCACCCAATCACAAGACATAGTCAAACCAGGCATCCCAACACACCAAGTGTGTTCTCACAGTTGCAAGCAACCACACACAGGGTTCCCACAAGTCAACCGGGCATCGCACACAACAAGGGCAAAGGCCCCAACAGCAAGCAAATCAAAAAAATGCAACAGGCAGGGGCCAGCATTCAAAACCACCAAGAAAGCACCAATCACGCAAAAGCAAAGTTCAATCACCCAAAAATAAACAAATAACACAAAGTTCAAGGCAGCATCCAACCAATCACACCACACAGCAATGGCAAAAAAAGTCAAAGCACAGGGGGTCACAAACCAACCACAATGTCACGGTCACCGCACACATGTTCATCAACAATGTTTCAGGCCAAAACAGCAGGCAAGGCAATTTGTTGCAAAAATCAACCAAGCACAGGAGCCATCAACAGGGGGAGGTTCGGGCAAGCTTCAGCCAAACAGCAAATTCAAGCACAAATCACATCAAACAGTCAATGGCAAGGCAACACAAAACAACAAAAGGCAACAACAAACACAAAACAAAAGGCATGCACGCAGCAACCCCAACGATCGCAGTCACCATGCAACATCACCAAAACGCAACCCTCCCCATGTCCCATTCACCCCCGCAAGCAATTTCACAGCACGCAACGCACCCCACACCCCCAACCCCCCAACCCCAAACTCAGTCAATCAATGGTCACAGGCTCCTCACTCCCCCCCACCTCCACCACACCACCACAACACCTAGCCCTCCTCAAAACACCCCAACACCTCGCAACCCGGCGCCGGTCACCCTACCCACCCACACCGATTTCCTCCACCGCCACTTCAACACCCCCCAGCAAAACCCACCGCACCAGACCCCTACCCCCACATCCCAACCAAGTCCTCATCCCCCCAGCCCATCCCACACCAAACTTTCACCGTGCCCTCCTCCCGGCCCTCGCCAACGACCCAAGCACACCTAAGCCCCAACCACCAAGGCACCGACCCCAAAGACGTTCCACCCATCCCCCTTACCCCCAGGATGCCCTTTCAACGTCCGGGCATCCCCGCCGCAGGCCCGCCACAACCGCCCCCCCCCACAAGGCCCAACCCCACCTTCCCCAACCTGTTAACCCGGCCTGCCCCGATTTCCAACCCCCGCCGCCACCGCTTCCGGACCACCCCCCAAGCCACAGCCATCACCAGCCCTTCCCTCACGCTTTGCACCATTCACCCCTGGTTCCGGCACTGGCGCCGTCCCCCCCCATCGCAAGCCATGTATCACCCGTTGCCACACCAAGTTCCCCCCTGTTCCCCGCCCCCCCGCCCCACACTTGAACCCCCAACACCCCGCTCACGCCCACATGCCCCCACCCCCCCCCGTCCCCGTCCTCGACAGCGTCCCCCAGAAACGCAACCCCAAACCACCACCAGCCATGTACACTCCCCCCCCGGCAGGCAGTCAAGCAGCAGTCAGGCAAGCTCAGGGGATCAAGAAGGCACAAAGCAAGGCAGCAGCAGCCAGCCAAGGGGCAAAGCAGGCACATTCAATGGCACAGCAAAACAAGGTGCACAAGTGTTCACCAAGCACAAGCATTACAAGGCAAAGCAAAAAGCAATTCAAAACAGGCCACCCACCCCGGCAGGTTTCCAGTTCACCACAAGGCAAGCAGCACCCCTGCCATGGTGATGCTCATCGAACAGGCCTCGTACGGCGCTGTGTATCCTTTTTTGCACCAACAGCAAACCGTCGTCGGTTACGAGATCAACGTCAAGCACCTCGCCCCCGCCGACGCCGGCAGCGATGTCGTGGCCCGTTCCACTCTGGGCCACGTTGCCGGCAACAAGCTGCAGTTCGAGGTCGTGGTGCGCCTCGGAGATCTGGTGCTGGGCACCGCGGAGCTCCGAATGGCCATCGTCCCCCAGGCGCTTGCCGTCCCACCGGCCGCCGCATCGCAATAACCCTGCCGACCGCCTGCTCCCTCACCATCCGGCTGCTTGCCCTCCAAAGGAAACTGACCATGTCGTGGATTCGCGAAACCGACGCCGCAGTGCCAGCGGTCATCAAGTGCATGTCCATCAACCCCAACCTGATGGCAGCGGTGCAAAACCTCGGCGCCAACGCCTCATTCGGTTCGTCGGCTCTCACCCAAGGCACAACAAGCCCGACCCTGGTTGCTGCAACCGGAATCGGAATCCGTACCGACTGATACCCCAAAACAAACCACCCGGAGGTAATTATGACGCTCATGCCGACCGGCCGCCTGCGCCTCGAAGGAAAAGTCGCCGTCATCACGGGCGCCGGCTCCAGTGGTCCCGGATTGGGAACTGGAAAGGCCGCCTCCATCCTGTTCGCCCGCGAGGGAGCCAGAGTGCTGCTGGTGGACCGCAACCCACAGGCCGCCGAGGAAACCCTGGCCACCATCCGCGAAGAGGGCGGCGAAGCATCCATCATCGGCGCCGACGTTACCCTGGCCGTAGACTGCCAGGCCATCGCCGATGCGGCGGTTGAACGCTATGGAGCCCTGCATATCCTGTTCAACAACGTGGGCATCACCGGCCCGGGGTCTCCCACCGACGTCGAAGAAAGCGTCTGGGACAACGTGCTGGACGTCAACCTCAAGAGCATGATGCTCACCACCAAATACGCCGTTCCCAAAATGATGGACGCCGGCGGCGGCAGCATCATCAACATGTCCTCCATCGCCGGCGTCCGCGCCGGCAGCGGCGCGGCCAGCGTCCCCTATTCTGCCTCCAAGGCCGGCGTCATTGGTATGTCGGAGACGATGGCGGTGCACCTGGGTCGAGACAACGTGCGGGTCAACGTTATCGCTCCCGGCCACATCTACACCCCCATGGTCGGCGGAACCATGGAGCCCATAACCCGCGAACGGCGGCGAAAGGCCGGCCCCCTTGGAGTGGAGGGCAACGCCTGGGACATCGCCTACGCCGCCCTCTTTCTCGCCAGCGATGAATCCCGCTGGGTGTCTGGTGTGGTGCTGCCCGTGGATGCCGGACTGTTGGCCGCTACGCCCCTTGCCATGTACTCCCGCATCAGCGAAGGCGAGTAGAACTACCGGTTTGACATTCCTCGGCTTATTGCCATACCTTGAAGGTGCGGCATACATCGCAATCGTCCTTGCCGTACTGGGGGTCCCGCAAATGCTGTCCAGCTATTTCGACATTAGAGAACGCCGCCGATCACAAAGAGAGGACAGATTGGAGGCGGAACGCACCCGGAGCGGAGAACGCCTGGAGGCGGAACGCACCCGGAGCGAAGCACGCCTGGAAGCGGAGCGCACCCGCCGGGAAGAACGTGCCGAGGCAGAACGCCGGCATACCGAAATGATGACCGCTCTCGCCGGAATCCTGGCTTCGCAGTCCAATGGACGCCGTGCCGCATCAAATGGCGCGGTGGACAACGCCGAGCTGCTGCGTCGCCTGGCCGCCATCGAAGCTGCCCTCGGTATATCTGACGGGCCGGCTCACGACCACTCGGACGGCTAGGCCCGACAATGCCCACCACTGGCGACACGACTTCGGTATCCCTCAAACTGGTCGAAACGCCCACCGAACTGGAAGGTGCGATCTCCGTCCGGATGCGTGTGTTCGTCGGTGAACAGGGCATCCCCGCCAACGTCGAGGTCGACGACGACGACACCGCGCCCGACACCCTCCACGCCGTTGCGTTGCGACAGGGCGTGGTCATTGCCACCGGGCGTCTGCTCCCCGACGTCGACGGCAAGGGACCGCACATCGGACGCATGGCCGTATTGCAGGAATGGCGACGCACCGGAGTCGGCGGGCAAGTTCTGGACTTTCTGGAGAACCAGGCCCGCCAGTTGGGTTACGGTCGCATCACGCTGCACGCTCAGGAATACGTCAAATCCTTCTACGCTGACCACGGCTATCGGGAAGCCGGCGATATGTTCCTGGAAGTGGACATCCCCCATCGCGAAATGGTGAAAGACCTGTAATAGCAGGAAGGGCAGGGTGACGCACTGGCCGCCCTGCCCTTCGATTTACCCGCGTTGCCGGTTACGCGACGCCGGCCGTGGCCTCCACGCCGTCCATCACCCGAACTTCCATCTTGGCGATGTGGCTGGTGGGTCGGTCTCCCAGAGCCGAACGCTCCGGCGACGCAAAGTACGCGGCCTCCTTGGAGGCGATATCGTCGGCGCTGTCAAACCGGCGCACCCAGATGAACTCCGTGCGGTCGGCATTGACGTAGCTCGATACCACCGGAATGCCCAGGCGTTCGTGCAGCGGGCGGATGTGTCCGTTGAACACGCCAAGCCACGAGTCCATCATGCCCCGGTTGATGGTATAGATGCGAAGTTGGTAAGCGGCCATATTTGTACCTCCGGATGATGCGGTGGGTGTTGGATGTTGGACTATTCTAAACCAATTCGTGCCGGCAGGGGGTGCATGTCGGTTAGCTAATCTGATACTGGGCGATGGCGTCCTGACTGAAGGACAATCCCAGCCCCGGCCGGTCCGGCACCACAATGTCCCCGTCCACAATGTCAGGCGTCTCGTCGAACAGCCGCAGCGTCCATGGCATGTACTCCACCGTCAAACCGTTGGGGATGGCCGAGATAGTATGCACCTGCACCTCGGGAATGAGATGAGACACCACCGGCAGGTTGAAGGCTTCGGCCATGCCGGCTATCTTGCGGAACGGCGTGATACCGCCCGCCCGCAGCAGGTCAACCATCACAATATCGACGCTGCGTTGCTCCAGCATGTGACGGAACGGCCGGATGCCATACACGTACTCACCGGCGGCGATGGGCGTCGTCAGCGCGTCGGCCACTCGAGCCAACCCCTGATAGTCATCCCGGGCCACCACGTCCTCCAGCCAGAACAGGTTATATTCCTCAACCATCGTGCCGATCTGGATGGCCTGGTTCACGTTCCACAACTGGTTGATGTCGCACATCAGGTCGATGTCCGGGCCAATGCCCTCGCGCAGCGTACGGATGCGAGCCACTTCCCGGGCGGCGGTGGGCTCGGCTCCCATCTGGGTTTTCATCTGGCGAAACCCCTGTTCCACCAGGCGGGGGCCGGCCTCGGCCAGGTACTCCACGCCCATGGGTCGCATCAGGGCACCGCTGGCGTAGGTGGGCGCCCGGTCGCGATAACCGCCCATCAACGAACACACGGTTTGATCCAGCGCCTTCCCCTTAATATCCCACACCGCCAGGTCTACGGCGGCCAGCGCCAGCGACACAATACCCTCCGGCCCGGCGGATGCACACGCCCCCATCAGTTTGTTCCAGACCGCCTCCGGATTCATCGGGTCCTCGCCGGTGGCCAGCGCCGCGATATCCTCCACCGCCTGACGCAGCGAACCGTACAGCGGCCCCCCGAAAAAGGTGAGTCCCACGCCCTGGATGCCCTCATCCGTGTTCAGCTCCAGCGTAACAAACTCCCGTACGCCGGGTTGGTCAATGCCCACTACCAGCGGATTATCGGCGGGGGTTTGCAGCACGCGCGTCGTGGCGCCAGTAATTTTCATGGTGGATTCGCTCCGTTTCGTGATGGCGTTTTTGGGCGGCGGCCCCGCCGGTTCCGCAGGTTAGCACGGGGGTACAACGTAAGCAACAAACACCGGTTTGACGCTTGCCCCGAACCTGCGTAGCATAGAGCGTAATCGAGTCAACACGTTCAGGAGGTGCGGACACCATGACCATCAATAACGCTGACACCGGCGAGATCCGGCGCATCGTGCAGCAACAGTACGGCCAACGCGCCCTCCGGGTGATCGAGCTGACCGACGTAACCCCCCAATTCGAATGCGGCTCCGAGAACTGCGGCAACGGCAATTGCGGCAACGCCGACTGCGCCGCCGAAGCTCATGCCCACACCGAGGCTGCCGCCTGTTGCGGCCCGGCGGATACGGAACACGCGATGGCCCTGTACAACGAGGCCCAGCTCCAGGGCTTACCGGTAGAGGCAATGGCGGCCTCGGCGGGATGCGGCAATCCTACCGCGCTGGCCGATCTGCGCCCCGGCGAAACCGTGCTGGACCTTGGCTCCGGTGGCGGCATCGACTGCTTTATCGCCGCCGAGCAGGTGGGTGAGTCGGGCCGCGTTTTCGGACTGGATATGACGCCCGAGATGCTGGCGCTGGCCAACACCAACCGCAACCGCATGGGTTTGTCCAACGTGGAGTTCATCGAAGGCCATCTGGAAGACATTCCGCTCCCCGATTCCACCGTGGATGTGGTTATCAGCAACTGCGTCATCTGCCTGTCTCCCGATAAAGACGCCGTGTTTCGGGAGGCCTACCGCGTGTTGACGCCGGGCGGACGCCTCCACGTTTCGGACATGCTGGCCCTCACCGCCGAAGGCCCCACCCTGGTGGATGCGGACTCCTGGGCGTCCTGCATTGGCGGCGCGGAATACCGCGAGACCTACCTGGCCCGCATGGTTGCCGCCGGTTTCACCGACATCTCCACCACGGAAGATGACCTGAAATGCGACGAAAACCAGGTCTCTCTAAACGTGGCCAGCGTGAAGGTATCGGCCCACAAGCCCCGCTAACTCTTCGGCAACCGACTCTCTCACGGCGTCCGGCGCGGCCCGATCAGGGTTCCCCGGGCGCCGTATGCTATCCTGTCTTCAACTGCCAACCCATATTTCCAACCTGTCCGGCCTTGCCCCAAATCACGGGTGATCGGGATGACTACACAAGAACTACGCACCGGAACCAGGCTCTCCATCGAAGAATTTCTGTCCCTCGGCGAAACCGACCAGAAGATGGAGCTCGGCTACGGCAAGCTGTATCTAATGCCCACTCCAAACAAAGACCATCAATTCCTGCAACACTGGACTCGCCAACACCTGGAAAACTACATCGATTCTTTCTCCGAACCACCCCTTGAAGTTCACCACGAAATCACCACCGTTCTGTCCCGGGAGTCCCACCTCGCCCTCGAGCCAGACATCGTTGTCATCCTTGCCGGGCGCACCGATATCGGCGGTGTGGTTCACGTCGAAGGCATACCCGACATCGTTGTCGAAATCCTGTCGTCAGACCGCTCGAGAGACCTGGTGCGCAAACGGCAGATATACGCCGAATCTGGAGTGCAGGAATACTGGATTATCGACCCGGCAGCAGATACCGTCTCCCAACTGGCATTGCAGGGCGGCAAGTACACCGAACGAGCCACCCTGGGCGTCGACGATACGTTATCTACGCCTTTGCTGCCCGGCCTCGAAATTCCCCTGGGAGCGATATTCCGGCACCCTCGACGCCCAGCTCGGGAGGAATGACCACCCGCCGGCCGCGTTGTGCCTACATCTAGGCCAGCCTGAACCGCTTGAACGCCTCGGCATACTCGACGCCGATGTTCTGCCCGTTGCGGCGCCGGCCCTCCCTCAGGTAGCGGTCTGCAATGTCTGGTTCAACCTGGCTGCGGTGAGCCTGCAATGCAGCCACCGCCGTGTCGATGTGATCCGAAACATCAACGTATCGATCCGGCTCCTCGTGCCCCATCACCCATAGTTCCTTCACCTTGTGGGGCTCCAGACCCTCGCCCTCCAGCAGCTCGGGAAACGTCAGCCGGTCCCGCGCCGACGGAAACACCGCCGACATCGCCGCCTCCCCGGACGCAAAGTGATCCGGATGGCCGATGTAACCGTCTCCCGTCAGCCGCCGCACCGGGTTCATGCAGATCAAAACGTCGGGCCGTTGCCTCCGAATCTCCCGCGTAATATCCTTGCGCACTGCCAGAGTGGGCTCCAGGTATGCGTCGGGATGGCCCAGAAACACCACGTCGGTCAGACCCAGAACCCGACCGGCTTCCTGCTGCTCGCGTTTGCGGATTTTCGTCAGTTCCTCGCCGGTAATCTCCGGATTTTCGCTGCCCTTGCTGCCATCGGTGCACAGAACGTAAACCACGTCCCAACCCTCGGCGCACCAGCGGGCCACCGTGCCCGAGCAACCCCACTCGGCATCATCGGCGTGGGCCACCACCACCATCCCACGAGCAAATCCGCCGTCTGTTTGTTCACGCATCAAATTATGTGATCTCCAGTTCGCCCCGTGAACCGTCCCGCCTTGACCTCATCAAACAGTCGCCGGCGCAGCCGTGGGGTCGGGAGGCGTCGTCGCCGTTCGACGGCTCTTGAAATACAGCACAAATCCCAGCAACGCACCCGCCAGCGCCATCCCCGTTGACATTGCGAACGACCATTGTAACGTATTGGTTGCGTCGGCGATGGGGCCCGCGATAACCGGCGACAACGTGCTGCCGATACCCGCTCCCATCCCCATCAGGCCAAATGCCGCCGGCGCCATGTACACCGGAACATAGTCCCCCGCCGATGCCGCGCACAGCGTGTAGGTAGCCCGCATGACCAACCCGGTCAATATCGACGCGATCACAAATGCCGGCACCTCTGGAACCAGCCAGAACAACGCGTGGCTGGCGCCCTGGATCAAAAATGTTACGCCAAACGCAATTCCGCGCCCCCACCGGTCGGACAACGCTCCCGGTACGACCCCGCTCATGATGCTGAGAACCCCGATCACCATGAACAGGATGCCCACCGTACTGACGTGGACACCGTGTTCCGTCTCCAGGTACGACCCAAATGACGATGTGAGGACGCCCTGCACACAGCCCGAGCAGAACGCCATCGCGGTGATGTGCCATATAGCCCGGTTGGTATACACGGCTATCGGCCACCGGCTGCTCCGAACCGGCGGACGGGTCACCACCCCGGTCGTCCGGGCCACCGGCGTGGGTGTTGACGGCGCCTCGCGGATGAAACCCATGCACGCCAGGCCAATCAGCAGGCTGCAGCCGCCCAGGATGTACCATGCGAACCGCCAGGCATCCTCCCCAAAAAACCGGGTCAGGGGCGGGAACATCAATCCGATGACTACGATTGCCAGGCTTCCGCCGGCGGCTGCCAAACCCGCGGCAATGCCCCGATCGGTGGCCCGGAACCACGGAGACAGCATCCCCATCATCGGAGTCAGCGCCGACCCCGAACTGAACCCCACCACTATCATCGCCGCCATGGCGACCCAATAATTCGGAGACCATCCCAACAGCCACATTGCCAGCGTCGAACCGATCAGGCTGACGATGATTAACCACCGGCCCCCGTATCGGGAAGCCAGTATTCCGGACACCAGTCCGGAAACCACCCGCGACAGCGACAATGCAGCCACCAGCACAAACGCCTGGGTGTACGTGAGGCTGAAGGCCAACTTCATGCCTGGTATCGTCAACGCCTGAACATACAGCGAGAAGCTGGTGATCAGGTTCACCGCCATTGATACCGCCAATATCACGGTGGCATAGGTGCGTAGCCAAGGCGGTTTCAATACGGCGGGAATGGCGGCCATTGCCGGCCCTCGATGGGAGCGGGACGGCGCCGATCAACCAATCGGCGTCATGATTCGGGCTGCCATCATACCATGCCTCCTATCATCGCGAGGAGCGCAGCCACGTGGCAATCCCGTTGCCCCAACGGCCCACAATCCTGTCCATCCTGTTCATCCATGTTGGATTCGGCTCCCCCTCTCCCTCGATGGGAGAGGGTTGGGGTGAGGGTGGCCCCCCCGTTCGTCCTGAGCCTGTCGAAGGACCCCCTATCAAGGCGAGTAGCGTTTGCGACGTGACAATCCCGTCGCCAAGCCTGGCGCACTCCCGTCATTCCGGACTTGATCCGGAATCCACCGGGGGTAGTAGTGGGTGGATTCCCGCTTTCGCGGGAAAGACGTGGTGGAGGCGGAACCCCCCATTTCCCACGCATCCCGAGCCTGTAGAAAGACTCCCTCTCCCTCGATGGGAGAGGGTTGGGGTGAGGGTGGACCCCCCCGTTCGTCCTGAGCCTGTCGAAGGACCCCCCATCAAGGCGAGGAGCGCAGCGACGTGGCAATCCCGTTGCCCCCGCCGCATCCCTGAGCCTATGGAAGGCCCCCCGCTATCCGACTACCCCATTTGGTTGCCGGCAATCGAAAGCCCACTGGGAGTGGTAAAATTGCGTCAAAGAAGATCTGCCGGGAGGGTTCGTACGATGGACGATGAGGCATATGTCGGGCGGCTGAAACAGAAATTGGAGCGCATCACGAACCGGGACGTTGAGTTGCGGGTGGAAGAAAACGATCCCAATTATCTCGAAGTGGACTTCGACGGCCTGGTACCGCAGGTGGTGCTGGGCAAGAACATCTACGAGTACCCTGGCTTCGCACGCATGTGCCTCGAATACGCCGCCGCGTCCATCATCCAGGGCCGGCATATCGGCGAACTAGAATTCCACATGCTGCTGGCCCGCAACTAACCTGCCGTCCTACGGCTGACCGTTCATGCAGCGCCCACTCCCTCATGACGAGCATCGCGGCATCCCGCCCGACCCGGACGAAGGTCCCGGTTCGGCCCCCGAAGCGGGACCGCCGCCTGCCAGCGAAACCGATCCTCCCTTTATCGAACCCACCTACGAGCCGGTGCCACCGCCGCCGCCGGTTCCGCCCAACGCCCTCCGACCCTGGTACTACCGGGAGTGGTTTCTCGTCCCCACCCTCGTCTGGTGGCCGTGCAGCGCCATCCTGCTCCTGCGGTCCCCCTGGCACAATGGCGTACTGACCGGCATATTGTCGTGGACCTGGTTAATCGCCGGCGGCATGTGGATTTTCCTCCGCATACAGTACAACGGCACCATTGCAGATCCCACGCTATGGGCATTGGCCGCTCCCGGTCTGCTCCTTACCATCCTCACGCAATCGATGTGGCTCACCCGCCATCGTCCCCGCATCAGACGCATCAGAGCGGCCGGCGGGTTCGCCGACTACGCCAGCGCGCCGGAACCCGTCGCGTCTCCGCGGCCGCCACGTCAACAGACTACCGGCCCGCGCCGTCGACCCAATCGGGGCGGTACCCGCAGCCGTCGCCGTCGCCACTAATCCGCAGCCTGCCACGGCCCTAAAATCCTGTCCATCCTGTCCACCTCCGTTCGTCCTGAGCCTGTCGAAGGACCCCCCTCTCCCATTGATGGGAGAGGGCTGGGTTGGGTGGATTCCCGCTTTCGCGGGAAAGACGGGGGCGTGAGGCCCCAACCACCGGCCGTTGCCCGCAACGCTAAGGTGAGGACTTCCCCAGTCCCACGCTTATTGAACCTTCCACCAGTCCCTTCACCGCCGCAATCCGATCGTCCGTGGTGGAAAACGCCATCCCCATCGGCGTGATGGTGATGTGATTGGCCTTGTGGGATTCTATATCGCTGCCCTCGCCACCGGCCAACACCGGTCGGTTGCGAGATATCCAGTAGCGTTTGTGGCCGAACGACTCCTCGGTGCGCACCGATTCACCATAGGCGCGTCCACCCAGCCTGGTTATCTTCACGCCGGCGATCCTGTCGGCCGGTTCATTAGGAACGTTCACGTTCAAAAAATAAGGCGGCGACATTTCCGGCGCATCGGCCAAACTCCGGGCCAGGTCGGCCACCAATTCGGCTGCCACATCGTATCGCGGCGACTGCACCGAACCGACCGATATTGCGATGGTGGGATATCCCCGCACAAAACCCTGCACCGCTGCTCCCACGGTTCCCGACACGATAACATCCCAGCCCAGATTGGACCCCCGATTGATGCCGCTCACCACCAGGTCCGGCTTCGGCATCACCAGCTGCTCCAGGGCCAGGATGCACGAGTCCGCCGGCGTACCCTGAACCGACCAGGCGGTTACGGCGTGGAGCAGCGTGGCGGCAACGTCCGCCGGCCCCCATTCCGGCGCGGCGTCGGCGGCCAGCGGCGGCGTCGATTCGCCGGGCGCGAACTGGGCCAGATACTGCTCTGCCGGCACCTGGTGCACAAACAGCGGCGAGTGCAGCGTCATCGACGCTCCAACTCCCGACTGCTCCCGGTCGGGCGCGACCACGGCCACCTCGCCCACCGTGGAAAGCGTGCGAGCCGCTGCCCACAGCCCCGGCGCGTGAATACCATCGTCATTGGTAAGAAGAATTTTCAAAGTGTGCTCCACTGCGGATTTATCAGCCGTTACCGGCCCAAAGATTGGCTGTGAACGGACCAACGGCCCCCGGCCGCAGGTATCCCATGTCGAAACGGAACCGTATCGATACGGTTCCGTTTCGATACGCTCCCGCCCTGATATACTCCCGCGTTTATATTAGAATCGGCCCGCAATACTTGTCGGCATTGCGGGCCTCTCCGTACTTGTCGATTATTTCCGGTTGGCCTTCAGTGGTGCGCCAGCCCGATGGCGTGCATCAGCGCGTGCTTCACTTCGACAGGCGCCACGCCAGACCGGTAGCCCGCCGAAGCGTATATGTCGCCGATGATGTCCACACCCGCAGCGGTTATATCCTCGCCCAGGTGCGCCGTGGCCGTGGCGATGTTGTCCGCCGTCAACTGCATCCCCGTCAGGGCTGCTTCCACCGCCGGCGCTTTTACCGGTCGAGGCGTCAATCCACCCACTGCCACCGAAGCGGCGGTGCATCGGTCACCGTCCATCGTAACCACCACGGCGCCGCCCACCACCGAATAGAAGCTGGCCGGGTGGGCCATCTTGGCGTACTCGGCCCGCTGGTTAGCGGCCAGCGTGGGTACCGTAATGGTAGTGATGATCTCGTTGTCGGCCAGCGCAGTCGCGAAGGCATCTTCTATAAAATCACTGGCGTCCACGGTGCGACTGCCCGACGGCCCCTGCACGTGTACGCTGGCTCCCAGAGCCGTCAGCACGGTTCCCCAGTCCGACGACGGGTCGGCGTGAGCCAGGTTGCCGCCGATGGTGCCCCGGTTGCGAACCGCCGGGTCGCCGATCCCCCGGGCCGCCTCCGCCAGCAAACCGTTGGCGTGCTCCACCTCGGCTGAATTAGCAATCTCGGCGTGGGTGGTCAGCGCGCCGATCCGGATGGTGCCGTCGCTCACGCTTACGCCCTTCAACCCGGCGATGCCGCCGATGTCGATCACCGTTTCGGGTCGCGCCAGCCGGAACCGCATCAGCGGAATCAGGCTGTGTCCGCCGGCCAGTATCTTGGCGTCGGGGTTGTCGGCCAGCAGTTGCACCGCTTCCGCAATCGAACCGGCCTTCCGGTATTCAAACTCTGCTGCAAACATTGCAATCAGTCCTCCTCTGTCCGGTGCCGGTTAGTGGTTGTGTCCATGACCGTGGTCATGCCCATGGCCGTGACCGTTCCCGTGGCCGCCCTCCTGGATGGCCCGCCACACCTTTTCGGGTGTCAGCGGCATGTCCAGCTGGGTAACGCCCAGCGGTTTCAGAGCGTCCATGACGGCGCTGTAAATGGCAGCCGTAGAGGCAATGGTTCCTGTCTCGCCGATGCCCTTCACGCCCAACGGGTTGTGCGGCGACGGCGTAACGGTCGAATGCACTTCAATGTCGGGCACCAGGTGCGCCCGCGGAATGGCGTAGTCCATCATCGAACCGGTGAGCAGTTGGCCGCTGTCGTCATATACAGCCCCCTCCCACAGTGCCTGACCGGGCCCTGCACCACTCCGCCGTGAACCTGTCCCTCAACCACCATCGGGTTGATCTGGGGCCCACAGTCGTCTACGGCCACGTAGCGATCCAGCGTAATGTGCCCGTTGTCCGTATCAATGCTCACGATTGCGGCATGGGCGCCGAACGGATAACTGAAGTTGGGCGGATCGTAGTAGGTGCTGGCTTCCATGCCCGGCTCGATGCCTTCGGGCAGGTTCCAGGCCACGTTGGCCTGCAGCGCCACGTCCTGTATCGACTGCGCCCGATCGGGCGCGCCTCGCACGAAGAACTGCCCGTCTGCGTACTCTATATCAGCCTCATCGGCTTCCAGCAGGTGGGCGGCAATTACCCGCGCCTTGTCCCGCAGTTTTCGCATAGTGAGGGCAACCGCGGCTCCGCCGACCGCCGTGGTGCGGCTACCGTAGGTTCCCCATCCCATTGGCGTGTTGGCGGTGTCGCCGTGAACGATCTCTACGTCGTCCACCGGCACCCCGATCTCGTCAGACACGATCTGGGCAAAGGTAGTTTCCTCGCCCTGGCCGTGGGGTGAGGTTCCGATAAACACGTTCACCTTGCCGGTGGTGTAGATGCGAACCGTTGCGCTCTCCCACAATCCACCGCCGAACCCCACCGCCCCGGCTACCTGAGAGGGGCCAAGGCCGCAAATCTCGCAGTAGCAGGCTACCCCGATACCGCGGAAAGTGCCGTGTTCACGTTCGTGTTCCTGGTCGTGCCGGAAGCCGTCGTACCCAATATGACCCAGCAGTTGATCCAGCGCGCCGGCATAGTTGCCGCTGTCGTAGGTAATGCCGATCGCAACGTCCCGGTTGTTGTCGAACGGCTCGATCAGGTTCCGCCGCCGCGCCTCCACCGTGTCGATTCCCACCGCGTCGGCCACCTTGTCCATCAGCCGTTCCAGCAGGAACGTGGCCTCCGGACGCCCGGCGCCGCGGTACGCCTCCACCGGTGTGGAGTTGGTGAACACGCCGTAAATGTCAGCCTTGATGTTGGCGATGTCATAAGGACCCGAGTACATCAGGCCGTGCAGAATCGTTGGGATGCCCGGCGCTGCCGTGGATAGGTAGGCTCCCATGCCGGCGTAAACCACGCTCCGGACGGCGGTTACCTTGCCGTTGCTGTCGGCGGCCATCTCCACGTACTCAACGTGGTCGCGGCCGTGGGTCGTGGCGATGTAGTTTTCGGTGCGCGTTTCCGTCCACTTAACGGGTACACCCAGCTGCATCGAACAGAAGGCTGCAATCATTTCCCACGGATAGACGGCAATCTTGGAGCCGAACCCGCCGCCCACTTCGGGGGCGATGATGCGAATCTTGTGCTCGCCGATGCCGGTAACCAGGCAGGTCACGAATCTGGCGATGTGCGGGTTCTGCGTGGTGTTCCAGATGGTCAACTCGCCCATGGCCTGGGAGTACGAAGCAATCGCCGAACGCGTCTCCATGGCTGTGGGTATGAGCTTCTGCTGCCGGATGGTCTCACTCACGGTTATCGGAGCGTCGGCAAAGGCGGCATCGGTGTCGCCACCGGCGGCCACCCAGTGGAAGGCCTGGTTGTTGGGAGCATCCTCGTGGAGCTGCGGAACGCCGTCGGCCATCGCACGTTCGGGGTCGATGATGGCCGGCAGTGGCTCGTAGGCCACGTCGATCAGTTCCATCGCGTCCTCGGCCTGATAGCGGTTCTCCGCCACCACCACCGCAACCGCATCGCCAACATAGCGAACCACTTCGGTGGCAATCGCCGGGTAGGCAACGGCCTTCAGATCAGAGTCGGGGATGGCCCAGGCGCAGGGTATGGGATTCAGCACGCCGGCGGTGTCGGCGCCCGTGTACACGGCCAGCACTCCGGGCGCGCCCTGCGCTGCCGAGGTGTCGATGCTGGTGATGCGGGCGTGAGCATGGGGGCTGCGCAGGATGGCAGCATGAACCATGCCCGTTAGCTTGATGTCGTCGGTATATGATGCCTGGCCGGTGATCAGGCGGGGGTCTTCACGCCGGCGGATACCGGAGCCAAAAATTCGGGTAGTCATAGTGCGTCCTTAGCCTCCTCGCTGGGCAGCAGCGGCGGCCAGAGCGGCCCTGACAATGTTGGTGTAGCCCGTGCAGCGGCACATGTTTCCTTCCAGTCCGGCCCGCACTTCGTCAGCCGACGGGTTCGGGTTGCGTTCCAGAATCTCGGTCACCGACATAATCATGCCGGCGGTGCAATAGCCGCACTGCAGGCCGTGGTTGTTCCAAAAGGCTTCCTGCACCGTGGTCAGATCGCCGTTCTGGGCCAGTCCTTCGATGGTTGTAATGTCGGCTCCGTCTGCCTGCACTGTGAACGCGGTGCACGACTTCACGGTCATGCCGTTCATCTTTACGACGCAGGCGCCGCACTGACTGGTGTCGCATCCGATCTTGGTGCCGGTGAGGTTCAGGGACTCTCGCAGAAAATGCACCAGCAGCGTGCGGGGTTCCACTTCGGCGGAGTGGGAGCGGCCATTCACGTTTATCGTGATGGGTACTTTATTGGGCAAAATAACACCTCCTCTGGTCAGGAACGCCGGCGAACACGCGGTCGCGGCAGGGGTGAGGTAACGTGGCGGAAGCAGCCAATATCACCGTGGCCGACTCCCGCCGGCAGTATAGACGGCAGCCGGCACCCGGTCAAATGAAAATATGCCATCGGCGCGACTCACAGGCGACGGTTCAATAACTGCGACAACTCGGTCATCGCTGGATGATTTGACGACGCCGCACGGGGGGTGTTTTCGATTGCCGACAATAGCCAGGTGTCTGAGAATTGTTGTGGCCATTTCGAATTAATGACGATTCGTTCGTCGTCAATACGAATAGCATTCAAAAACAACAACCAGCTCAGGTCCCTCATCTGTGCCCTTTCAGAGAACTTGAGGTTTCCGTAGTTGGCTCTGGCCAGCCGCAACAGGCCATCCAAACTCATTGCGCCCGCTATCTTGCAAAAGCTCGAGAACGTTGAGTTGACGTTGCGTCAACACTCGCCGGCGGGGACTAATCAACCGCCCGTATAACGAACTGGCGAATTCTTTGTACAGGATTCGTTGATTGTTGGCGACAATAGTCGTGGAAACCGCATCGCATTGATTGGATATCGCGGGCAACGCGAATCGGAGAAAGGGAGTGATATCGTGCTGTCTGCTCCTGGATTCGGACAGTGATGAAAAGTAGCCATCCCGGTGCTCGTAATAGTAGTTTGCCAGACTGACCATAACCGGCGCATGGACGCCGGCGCGTCTTAGCATGAACGCTTCTACAGCACGGGCAGTACGTCCATTTCCATCGCTGAACGGGTGCATTGCCCCAATGTGGTAGTGAGCAGCCAAAGCCTGGATTATCGGGTCATATAGTTGGAAATCACCAGCCAGGGCTCGGCAAAACGTTCGGAACGCCAACCGACAATCATCGCCGCCTTCGACGCCTCTACACCTTGGAATCCCGAAACTCACGTTTTGGTCGGGACGCCGCAGGGCGCCTGGCTCGCAGTGGTCGTCATCACACCCAGTCACGATCCGCCGATGAATTTCGAAAATCAGATCTTCATTGATGGGGCGGTCCGCCGGCTCAGCGCCCATCTTTCCGGTAGCCGATATGGGCTAGCGCTCAAGGAAACCATATCCCAATGTTTTTCCTGATAATTTGCTGGAGATTTCGCTTGTTTGAGCACAAATTATAGCATTTAGCGCCGTTATTTTTCTGAGTTTTTTACACGGGTTGCCCGATGTTTCATCTTCTGAAAACCAAACTCTGCATCGAATGGTTCGCAGTGTGCTAAATTATCCGTGCTTACATCCATCCCCACCTCCGGAGTCTGCCTGCCATGCTGCCGTCTCACCTCACCCACGTTTTCCCCGACACCACCGACACCAACGCTGCCGGCCACCTCACCATCGGCGGCTGTGACGCGCTGGACCTGGCGGAGCAATACGGCACTCCTCTTTACGTCCTCGACGAGGCAACCCTCCGCGCCCGCTGTCGACAGTTCTCCGACGCCTTCGCCTCCCGCTACCCCAACTCCCAGGCCGTGTATGCCTCCAAGGCGTACATCAACCCGGCGTTGGCCCGCATCTTCGCGGAAGAGGGGTTGGGACTCGACGTCGTATCCGGCGGTGAGCTGGCCGTTGCCATGGCCGGCGATATGCCTCTGGATCACGTTTACTTCCACGGCAACAACAAGTCCCCCGCCGAGCTGGAAGAGGCCGTCGCCGCTGGCATCGGTCGTATCGTCGTTGACAGTTTTCACGAACTTAACCTGCTGCAGCAAATCTCCCGACACCAAGCCACCCCCCCCCCCCCCCCCCCCCCCCTGGACGCATTTTGACACAGATGCGCTGAAGCCTGGTAAAAATCAGGATATTCTGGTTGTCGGTCTCCCCGCCGGCACCATCGGTCCGCACACCACCACCACAGACCTGACCAAACGCACACCACCAGATCGATCTCCCAAATGGGGCAAATAAATCGGGCCTACACCACACCAAGTCCGGTCTTCGAACCATCACAATAACACGCAGGTTTAGTGTTAGGACCACCCGCACCCGCTGATAGACGGAAGCCACTCACGTGGCAGCGGAACCGTCACAGGCGCCGCACACCACCAAATCTCGCCGACAACTGCTGATGCGGTCCTGTGAACATCTGCACCTCAATTCGCGATCACCGATTTTCGAACTTTGGAAACACCTACAGGCACACACGCCCGCACGAACTCAGATGCTGACGGTTCCCGCCGGCCGCCCCTAAGGTACTGCGCCAGAGGCAGGGTCTCAACCTGCAGGAGTTCAGTCCCGGCGGTGGATTTGCCATGCGCCACGTACCCGTTCACAGACTGTCGACTGCAACCCCCAAACTTATAGATGGCTCACTGACCACACCTCCACTGTCTTTTGCCCCTATTCGCCACACTG